GTGGGCTTTGCAACGCGAGTGCGATCCCGCGATGTTCCTAGATTGTAGTCGCGGCCCAGGCCCGTATCGAGGGGGGCGGGCAATGCCTCCTGAGCAGTCGTCGTTGCTGCGTGGTGAATGACGCCTTTCTCTTATTCATTGCTTTGCCGATCGGCGCCTGCCCTCGCACCCCCCCTCCCGCCCCCCCCATGGAGCAGATCTCGGCTGTTTCTGGCGCCTGTTTCGGACAGCTGGAGTCCCCCCCCGCAGGACGCACTGTTGCAAACAGTCGCAGCAAGCAGAGGTCGTGAGCCAGACCCCCTCTCACCACCCACCAAAGCACCCCGACCCAACTCGAAGGCCTCGACTTGCCCTGCGTTTCCAGTGGGGGTCGGCTGGGGAACCTTGAGAAACACATATGAAGCCCGTACCCCCCCCAACCCGAAATTCGGGTCTTCGGGTTGGGTTGGGGTGGTCTGACAGGTAGTCAGCAAGGCTTACATCCATATCCGCTGCGTCTTGGGTTTTCGGACTGGCTTAAGTCGGGCCTGTCCCTCTACAGGAGGTATATTCAGCATCACCCCAGTGCGACCCTACCTAGAAGTTGGAGCCCCTAGGAAAGCAGCATTAGTTGCTATGCTATGCCATGCCATGCCATGCTATGCTGCGCTATGCTATGCTATGCTGTGTTGAGCTATGCTATGATATGCTATGCTATGCTAAGCTATGCTATGCCATACTGTGCTATGCTAAGCTATGCTATGCTATGCTATGCTCAGCTAGGCTATGCTATGCCATGCTACGCCATGCTATGCTATGTTGCGCTATGCTATGCTATGCTATGTTTTCCTTGGCTATGATGTGCTATGCTATGCTAATGCAACGCTGCGCTATGCTAAGCTAAGCTAAGCTAAGCTAACCCTCTAGGCAGAACCTAGGTAGGGAATTACACCCATGCTAATGCTGCGCTATGATATGCTATGCTGGGCTATGCTATGATATGCTATGCTGCGCTATGCTACGCTATGCCATGCTATGCCGTGCTCTGCGATGCTAAAGCTCAGCGAAGCTAAGATTAAGGTAAGCTAAGCTAAGATAAACCTGAGCTAAGATGAAGCTACGCTAAGCTAATATTAAATAAGCTAAGCTAAGATGAGATAAGCAAGATGAGATAAGCAACGCTAAGCTAAGGGGCCCTCACTGGGAGAACCGCGGGGCGGATACTGGGGGAACCGCCCGGGGCGATTTGCACTGCCCGGCCCTTTAAGCACACACGGTAAGAACCCTTCTAGGCAGAGCCTAGGTAGGGAAATAGTGAACAAAAATGTTCTGGGTACACTTGTTTTGCCATGCTTGAATATGTTTTCTGGGCGTTGTTTGGCTTTTTTTTCTTTCGTCCAAAATCCCCCTGTAGGGAGACATGCCCCCTCCCCCTCTTCAAGAAAACGCCCGCTGCCTCGCCGGCCGCCCTGGTCGTCGCCGGCCCCGGCCCGCTGCCCCGCCACCCCCCCCTGAGGGGCCGTGGGCGTGCCCGGCGTGCGAGGATCGAGTCGCCTGCCTGCGGACGCTCGACGTGATGGGCCTGTTTTCCACCACCACCACCACCATATGTTGGAGGGGGAGGGGGTCCTCCTCCTCCTCCTCCACCTCCTCCTCCACCTCCTCTTCGTCCTCCTCCTCGTCCTCCTCCATCCCCCCTCCAACTTATGGTGGTGGTGGTGGAAAACAGGCCCATCACGACGTGTGTGTGGGCCGTGTGCGTTTGTTTGTTTGTTTGTTTGTTTGTTTGTTTGCTCGAGCTCAGGAACGGCGATCTCGCCCGAGACTTCCTCGCGCTGCAGCGGCCGGCAGGGAAGACGTTCCCCTCGGAGGGGGTGCAGTCGAAGACGAAGTGGGCGGGTATCGGGGGTTGGAGCATATGGAATGCAAAGCGCGTGCCAGTGAGAGCAAACAGTCTGAAAATGATTGTTGTTGCTGTTGAATTCCAATTTCTGAAGAGTCATTATTGTTGATTCTCACCCCTCCGGTAACATGTGTTTCTTTCAATCGAAGTGCCCCTCCTGGGGCTCGCACCCAGGTTTTGGGCCCCGAACTGCAACAACAACGGCTCCCGCCTGATACTTCGTCGCAATGCATTGGAGAATCGCTCTCTCGCGCGGGACTTCCTCACACTTTACGTTGGAATCGTGTTCTTGCGTGGGACTTCATCGCAGGTTACTCAAGCGATGTTGCCTCGGCGCTCAGGAATCACGCTCTCGCTTTAGGCTTCATCGAGATTTGTCTTGGGAATCGCGCTATCGCTCGAGACTGCCTCGCGATTCATGCAGGACCCACGCTTCAACTTCCCGCCTCCTCGAGCTGGTCGCCTGGGCCCGCCTTCCCGGGTTGCCCCCCTTCCCGGGTTCTTGGTTTGCCACCCGATCTGTCCGTCTGGTTTTACCACTTCTTTTCTGTTCCTTGCCCCCCTCCTGCTAATTTCTCTCGTGCTCCATCCTTCTTCCTCCCCCTTCCACCCGTCCTCTCTTCCTTTGTTTTATGGGCTGCAGCAACTGCACGTGGTAGG